GCCTCATCTTGTTAGTACAGGCTGTTACATCCTGATTGTGGCTCCCCACCCCCAGTCACATACAGGCTTGTTTTTTTAAATTCACCCAGATGATATTCCGAGAAACTAACAACACAGCTTGGAGTCATTTCGAAAATATTCTTTCTGCATGGAAAATAGAAGCTGAAAGTGAGATGTCTCTGTGAAATGTGAGGTATTTATTCACACTTAATGGAATACATTACCTAATTCTAATACCTACAGTAATTTAATGGGAAATGCATAAGGAAAAAACAAAAAAAAATCCCATTGTGGAATCAATAATGACTGGCCTAAAACAGAAAAAGATGAGAGAAATCTACTGTGAGGAAAAAAAGAGAGGCCAAGTGGATAAAGGGGGAGTAGCCAGCCAGTGTCATAAAAGATCTGGGTATCAGCCTCTGCAGCTGTAAGGACTACAGAGCATGACAACCTGACTGTTGTGATTTATCTGAGCCCTTGTGACTCATAAGTGAGTCACTACCCCTGCACCTTTTGGTGAAGTTTCTAGGCCTGGCAAAATAATTTCATAAACAAAAACTGTAAAATCAACAAAATATCTGGTGGAGATGTGCAGATCAAATTCTTGATGCTCGAAATCATTTCTTCAATGCAGACTGATATGTGTCACATATTGGGGGGGGAAACGCTTCCTCCAAATGTGTTAGATTGAAGTGTTGCCTAGTTACATGTGTTGGAAGTCAATGGTGCATTGTGCTGAGACAGTTTTTTGTTTGTCTTGAATTAAATTGTCTCTTTTTCTGTTGTTGTTTATTAGTTTCAAATAAGCTTCCTTTGTATCAATAATAGATCATTTTTTCTTTTTGAGGTATATAAAAAACAACATAGTAGTTTAATTTTTATTTAATTTACTACAGTAAAGCATCTGAATTTAGTGATTGAGCCAGGCGCCATTGACATTAATAGGCAAAGATCTTTTTTGGCTTGGGAAGGAACAGAGACTGTAATGCTCCTCCATAAGCTTGATGCATGTTAATTAAGATGGCAACTCATCAATAAAAAGAAGAGCTGCAATGTTTAGACTTTAACCTTAATTAAAGGTAGAAGCGAAAAGATAATTAAACTATGCTTCAGATAAGATTCTTTTTTTATCTGTTAATATATGTTTATTGACTCTATCCCTAAATTATACGCTGGCATTTTAAAAGAGGAGCACATGATCAGAACACTGTTACTCAGCAATTTAAAAGGGGACTTAGCAGTTTTAACATTCTTTACTAATGAAGTAGGAGTGAACACCATGGTAAGATGAAAACAACTGTTTGAGTATTTGTGAAAGGAGTTTGCAGTGGCTTATGATTCTGGTAAGGTGTTTTAAGAAGTATCTGATCTGAAATCAATCTTTCCATCGTACAATGAAGTACACAATTCGAGGACATTCAAAACAACTGTGTCCATTCCACTGTGAGCCAGTCCAACCTGAAAACAGACTGAAAGATACTACAAGGGGTCTCCAGAATGGAATGGAACAAAGTACTTGTTTGGTGAAGTGAACCTGTGTAACATTAAAGCAGTAATGTGGATGTGTCTTGACTCTGGGAAGCTTTACAGACTTGACTAGCTCAGTACTTTAGAATCCATCATAATATAGTTCATATATCAAAATGACCTTGTGTGAGACAATTTGATTAACTATTCAAACCAGGGCAATTAAGGGGATTTGGACCCTAAAGCATGACAATAACTAAAAAGAAGCAGCTACAGCAATGACTCACCAAAGCGTAAAGACCTTGAAAGGCTTGAGAGTCAAAGCAAAGTGTCATACTTTTTCTCAGAAAATCTTTTTATTAATTGTTTAATTTCTTTATCAGAAAGTCTCTCTCTCTCTCTCTCTCTCTCTCTCTCTCTCTCTCTCTCTATATATATATATATATATATATATAGACTTCTTTTAAGAAGTGATACATTGTACTGATCACATTAATAGTTGAAAAACTGTTTCATTGATGTAATAAAATCTGCAAAAATCCTCCCTAGCATCATGACCGCTGACAGGTGAAGTGAGAAACACTTTTTGTTAATGGAGATGCATTAGATAGGGAAGGAGCATCCTAGGAGCTGATGACTTAGGAACAGAAAAAAAGGCAACCATAAGGATTTAATGAGGTTTGGCAAGAGCTGAATTGTGACTGCTAGACAACTCGGTGAGCATTGCATGAAGTCAGAGTTTCCCCCAAACTATACCTTATGGAAGATGTTACCTGTCTGTAGTTACTCAAGGAAAGAACATTAGTAAACCAGCTACAAAGTGCAGAAAACAACATTCAAATAGTATACTTTGAATAATATGAAATCCTCTTTGTTAATTTACCATTAGAATTTTCTCTTATTCTCTGATTTTCCAGTCTTTTTTTAAACCTAAATAAGTAAGGAAAATAAAAAAAATGGCTTATATATGTTCTAATTGATACCAATTATTTTCCCTTTTGTTATTTATTATTTATGTATTATTCTGTTGCTTTTATTCAAGGTCAGTTAAACCCAACACATTGTGAGTGAATGCAATAGTGTTTAGAACAATGGAATTTTACGTTGGGGTTAAATTTCTATTCTATTCTATTTTAGTCTATTCTGTTATATCTCACCTTCCCTTTTCATATATTAAAGTTGAAATATGATTTATTATGAGCAGAAGTAGCAGTTTCCTCAGTTCTAGAAGCTCTAGAAAAAGACTGACTGAGTGAAGGAGTAGTGAATTGTCCCTGTTGTGATGTCTTGATAACGTCAGTGATGACAAGATCTGTGGAGGCTGCCACTTCCTAACGGCATGAGGGAGTATTCCTATCAGCAGCCATCTCGCCACCTATCAACGCCTGCTCTTTCTAGTCATTAAGCTGAAGAAACCCCCACCACATAGTTGTTTTATCAGGGAACGAATGCAGAGGTCTATGGGGCTGATCATTGCCAGTGCTGGTTAGATACATGTGCATGCAGAAATGCCAATCTTCCTGAAATACAAGATTTCTGCCGTTTATGCATGGACTACAACATGGCAGTTCATGCCTTATTTAATCAAAGTCAGCTGCTTCTGAGTTCCCTCTCAGTCATCATCAGCCACCCCCTCCCATTTCACTGTTTCTTCTTCTATACATGCACAGAGATAGATGCAAGACTTTCAAATTCATTTTCAGGCTAGGGTAGAATATAGTTATGTTAATGCATTTGTCAAAATGTCAATCAAGGCATTTGTGCATTTCATTTACACAAGAACATTCGGATTTAGTGCTTGTGAGTTTATGTCATTTGTTTTGGTGTTTGATTCTTACATTATTGATTGTTTTATCTTACCACTTTAGAAAAGCAACATGAGATATTCAATACCGACAATAGATCCATATCTCGAATAAAAGCACACAGGAGAGCACTTAGTTCAGAATAAGTATTGTCCTCTAGAGTAATGTTTTCCAGCATACATAAAAATAGACAATGCCAATGACACAGCTTTAGCAACTTTCAAATAAAAGCACTATGCCTTAGGTGATTTTTAGGGAATTTTCTAGCAAACTATTATACTTAAAGCATAATAGCAAAGTGCATATTGATGGAGTCATAGTCTGTGCTTTCAAAAAAATATATGCTTTCTTGATGATATCTTAAAATATGCACATGCTCACATACATGATATGTAGACCATTTAAATCCTATCACACATATTGTCTATGTTTTCATATGAACTGTCTGCACAAGATATACAGCCCCATCTGACATGCCTTTCTAACCCTCTGTCCCATTATCATGCATTATGCATGCGCCCATTTCTGAAGTCCCTCTAATGTAAGAGCTTCCCTTGAAATAGAACTGACATTGTTACAAAACATGTTCTCAAAAAAGCCTTTGAATGCAGAGAATAACAGTGTATTCTTACTAACAGATATTTACCAGACTGTTTTTGCTTACCAAATGTAATTCTGATTAGATTTTCGTGTTAAATTCACTCTACATGTATGAAATACCTCAAGTGATCCACAAAGGCAAAGTAATTTCTTAAAATAAGTCAAGAAATATAATGATGAATCTGTGAACTTTACCATTAAAATTATTGATCTTTATTTTAAATATAAGCTCTTCACGACAAACTGATCACTCGCATCAACCAGTTGTGATTTGGATACATTTTCTCACACAAACTTTCTTTGAATCATCTTCAAGCTTCTTGATGCCATTTAATCCGATTTACTTTCATTCTCTGAAACTGCTTCAGTTTTTGTGTTTTATTGTCCTGCTGTAAAATCTGACTTTGTTTCAGATACTTTAGACTTAAGTTGTAATAAATCTGCATGTCCCACAGCCAAGCACCATTTTACTTCTACTGTCACCATATAGTTGATGGGTGATGTGCAATTCCTTATGTCCTCAAAATCTGTTGGGGCCAAAATATCTAGCTGCTTTAATTTTAGTCTATCTACCTAATAAGTTTTAGAAAAACAATTTCGACAGATTGCCAAGATGTTCTGCAGCAAATTTTATCAATCTTAAAAAAAGTTTTTCTTTTTTTCTTCTGCAGTGGAGTCTTATGTGCTGAATTCACACACTGACCATGGCTGCATAATGCATAACTCTTTCTTTTTTATTAAATACAATATACATTAGTCTTTCCATGACTTTATATGATTAGTTTTTGACTGTTTAAAAATATATGTCTGAAATTTTGCAAGGAGCACCTGACCAGTATTACATCTTTAGTACTGGTCAGGTAAAGAGGATTGTTATCAGTATCAGTATTGTTTTGAAAATGAGATTAAGGTCTTGAGTATGCTGTTTGCTTTACTCTCTCATGATATGATCTTTGATTAATAATTTGAATATATCAACCCTTTTTCAGAGCCATCAATTACAACAACCCAATTTATAAAAATGCAGTATTATTGATTAGTCCATTTAAACAATGTGTTTTGTAGTTAATGTGAAACAGATCTGAGATCTTTGATTTCTGAAAACCTGTCCTCGTGTTTGTCTTACAGAAGGAATGGCTTTGCCTGAACTGTCAGACCCGAAAAGCAATGTCAGGCCAGCTGGGAGATGTCGAACCACCTGTTTCCTCACCAAAGAAGCAAGAGCCTGCTCCACCCTCTGTCCCGTCTTCTACCCCTGTTCCTGTTGCTGTAGATAGCAAACCTGTAGCTGAACCTCTAGATCCAACCCCAAATGCTTCTGAGATCAAGGTAGCAACTGAATCCACACCCATTTCATCTGAACAAATCCACACCCATTCCATCATTCCTATGGAGAAAGTTCTTCAGGAAACACCTGATTCAGAGGAATTAAAGCAGCCATTAGTTGACAAATCAGCATCTGATCAACATCTTTTAAAGTCAGACAGTTTATCTGAGATTAGCTCAGAAAACCTGTGTGTTGAGAGCAAACAGCTTACTTCTGAGAATGTAGCAGAGGAAGGTCCCCACTCTGACACGAACCAAATCACACCGGGTGCAACAGTCAGTGACATGTCAGAAAATCTCTCTGAACAAATCCACACCCATTCCATCATTCCTATGGAGAAAGTCCTTCAGGAAACACCTGATGCAGAGGAATTAAAGAAGTCATTAGTTGACAAATCAGCATCTGATCAACATCTTTTAAAGTCAGACACTTTATCTGAGATTAGCTCAGAAAGCCTGTGTGTTGAGAGCAAACAGCTTACTTCTGAGTATATAGCAGAGGAAGGTCCCCGATCTGACACGAACCAAAACACACCGGGAGCAACAGCCAGTGACATTTCAGAAGCTAAGGAACAACAAAGTAGCTGTGAGAAAGCAACAGAGAATCATCCTGGAACTGACACAGAGATTCCTAACGTTGAGCACCAAGCAGAGTGTTCACCTGTTGGTGAAATCTCAGCAGTTGAAAAGCAACAAGATAGCACAGACAATACGGCAGAGAGCTTTTTTTCAACTGTGGAAGTTGAGACACAAATTCCATTGACAAATGCAGTTTCAGACACAGCAGCTAACACAGCAGCCTCCATAAAGGTGGAAACTAGGTCAGATACTGAGATCACTCAAACTGAGGGTGCAGCTCTCCCAGAAAATCATCAAAAAGTTAATTCAACTCTTGAAAATCTGCCCGAAGTGACAGATGAGGCAAATGCTTCTATGATCCATGAATTTGTGTCACAGGATACATGTCCTGTAAATACAGATTCTACAGCTGCAGATATAAACAAGGAATTATGTGAATCTTCAACTGACAAACCCCAAAACATGACAGCAGAGCTCACTTTACCAGACACAGAATTAGAGATCATCAAAATTGATGTCGTTGAAAGATTTGGGGCAGAGACCATTGCACCACTTGACACAAATCATGTTACTAAAGATAATATGGCAGCAACAGACTTGATAGCCTCTGTAAACTCTGCTGCCAAAGTTGATTCTCCAACAACTGACAACACAGGGCAAGATGTACAAGCAACACCAGCAAACAGTTCAGAAATTGACATTTCTTTGGTCTTGGAAGATAAAAATGATTTTGCAGCTTCAAAGGAAGTTTCTCAGGTAACCGAAACAAAAAGTGAGCTTATAGAAGAAGATGAAAAGGCAGAGCCACAAAGTATGGCAGATACTCCTCCCCCTGTTGTAGATCTATTAAAGAAAGAAAACAATGCTCCAGAGAAAGCAAATAATAACAACTCTGATGGAGCAAATGATTCAGTTAAAATCATAAATAACAGTGAAGTAGCTGTGTTTAACACATCGGAAAAAGATGCTTCATTAGGAGTTGGCTCAACACATTTTGACACAGGAGCAGCAGAGATGATAAAAGATGAAGGGGATTTCTTAAAAAAAGAGAACAATGAGGAGAAACTAGAGAACACAGATGATCAAAAGGTTGTGGTTAAACATGGTGACAACGATGCAAGGTTAATTATGGAAGTCAGCAACAATCAAGCAGATACTATGGAGGGAAAAGAAGTAGGAAAGGAAAGCACAGCAGTATCTCTCCCAGAGGAAATGCCTCAAGAAGACAGTCAGATAAATAAAGGCGTAAAGCAAGAAACAAAGTCTGAGCCTGTTGAGGGGAGCGCTGTTAAGACACTGCCATTGTTAGAGAAACCAGAGAAGAAAGAAAACTCTTTGGTCGAAGCACAAGTTGCACCACAGAAAAGAAATGAAAGCTTAGACGATACCACATTAAAGGTAGATGAACAGTCTGACAAAGCAGAGCTTATTTCTGATCCACCATCTGTTGAATCAAGGCAACAAGAAACAGATGTTGTAGAGATACCCTCTGAAAGTGTACTACCTGTGTCATCCTCATGTGATATCATAGAAACAAAGTCAAGAAATAAAACCTGTGAGGAGGAAAGCTTGGAGGATAAGGTAGATGTTGGTTTGAGTACTGCACAAACTCAAAATGAGCCTGAGAAAGTTGTTGAGCCATCAGTCAAGGAGAAGGAGGCAGAAACTGACAAGAAAGAGGATGAGTCACAGCCTGTCGTTGGCAGCCTGCAGGAAGCTATTTCAGTATCTGAAGCAAGTGCAGTATGTGGCAAAGATTGCAATGCAGTGTTTGGTGTGGAAGTGAGCTCCACTTTAGAGAAACATGAAGCTTCAGAGGATTTGCCTTCTTTAGCACCTTCAATCCCACTAGCAGAATCTGAAATCCAATCTGTAGTTGGTACGCATGATGCAGGTTTAAAGGAAGAATGCATGGAAGAGAAAATGGAAGCAGAGGCTAATCCTGTGGAAAAGCATGGTGATGACGAAGCACTTTTTGAGGTGACCATAGTATATAGGAATAATAGCAGTAGACTCTAGACTAGACCCCACTTATTAATTGTAGCTATATTTCTTAAATCTAAATTAAACATTTTAGCTGTAAAAGCAAGTACATCACAATGGATTAATTATTTCTTATTATATAGTACAACACTTAGTTAAATGCATTGATAAAATATGTTGGTACTTATTCTTTGTTGCATACAAAATGTTTTTTGGACTAATATTTATTTTTCAACGAACATATTTATACTTTGCTATTACTATATTTGTCCATATGATAAAAAGCAAGTAAAACAAATACTGTCTAAGATTTTTTGTCCTATTATTTGCAAGGAGTAACAAGTTGTTGTTTTTCTTCTTTTTTAATCACCAGATTAAAACAGTGGAGACCTTGAAAGAGCTTGAAATAAAAGAAGAGGAGGCTAAAGAAAGCAGCCCTATGAGCCCCTCAGACCTAGCAAGACTAGAAAGCTCTGTACTTCCAATTCTGAAGGCCCCAGTGGGCACAGAGGAGGAGGAGAAACAGACCGACACGCTAAAGATCAGACGCAAACTAGAGGTTCTTCCTCTCTCATCTGATTCTCCAAGCTCTGAAGAGGACAAAGAACTCTCAGAGAAGATCGTCAAAGGTACTGCAAAGAAAAAGCTTCTTGTGGCGATGGATGTCAAGGCAGACTCCATGGATGAAAGCAGCGAAAGTTTCGGAAAGGACAGCCCAATGTCTGGAGATGAGGAGGATTTTATCAGAAAACAGATAATAGAAATGAGTGAAAATGAGGATGCCTCTCCATCGGATGAAGAAAGCTTAGTCAGACAAAAGATCAGAGAGGAGGACAAGAAACAAAAGGAAATAAACAAAACTGAGAGTGTAGAGAAACGCATGTCAGGAAAAGCAAGACGATTAACTAAGAAAACTGCTATTAGTCCTGAATATGAGGATGTTAAGGAAATCACGTCCATGTTAGATAAATCTGAAGAGAATGGACAAGAGCAACAAGAGGAATTTCAGAACAATGCTTCAGTTTGCAAATTAAAAACATTTGAGCTGAATGTAACCAGTGGCCCTATATGTATACCAGGTGGAGATGGAGAGCCTGAAATGGAAAGTCTGACAGACTCCCCTGATGACCGGTCCAGGGGTGAGGGGTCATCTAGTCTACATGCATCTAGCTTCACTCCTGGAACATCACCAACATCTCTTTCATCTCTGGATGAGGACAGTGATAGCAGCAGCCCAAGTCATGTCCGTACAGGTGAAGGTAAACAACACAGAAAAGCCAAGCACAGACAGACTGGGCAAATGCTGCCAACTATTGAAGACTCATCAGAGGAGGAAGAGTTACGGGAGGAGGAAGAACTGCTCAGGGAGCAAGAAAAACAAAAGGGTTCAGGAAAAAAGTCCAAAAAAGACAAAGATGAGATTCGAGCCCAAAGAAGGCGAGAGCATACAAAGACACCACCGAGCAATCTTTCTCCAATTGAAGATGCCTCACCAACTGAAGAGCAGAGACAGGAAGCTGAAATGGAAGAAATCAGACGGTCTTCCTGCTCTGATTTTTCTCCCAGCATGGAATCAGATCCTGAAGGGTTTGAAATCCATGCTTCAAAGATTGCAGCAGTCCAAAAAACATATCAGCTGCCTATATCAGTATCTCTTCACTCTCCAACTGATGATCAAAACACTGATAAAATGCAGAAGAAAGCTCTCAAATCTGCTGATGAAGCATATGAAGAAATCATGCTAAGGGCTAAATCTCCAACAGTTGATAAAGGTGAAATTCAGTCAGAGAAGGAATCTCTTTATGGAGGCAGGCTTATTGAAGACTATGTCTACCCATCTCTTCTGGACAATTCTTTTGATCGAGAAGAGCAAGAGAAAATTTCTGTTCCTACTGAACCCAAAAAACTAAGATCTCCTGATGAAGTTTATGAGGACATGATTAAAAAAAGAAAGGAATTCATGCAACTAGAGCAAGAATATGAAAACATAAAGCCAAAAACTGAAACCTCTAATCCAAAAATTGTGCTGCAACCTGCTGAAAATACTATCCCCCAAAGTGGTACAATAACATTAGGAAAAGATGGGAAGCCATTGTTAGATGCTGAAACTCTCTATGAAGAGCTAATGAAAAGAGTTCTAACACCAGGTACAAGCCCAACTCAGCCTGAGCCAAATGAGGAAACTACTTCATCAAAAAAGATCCTTCACCCTATTCCAGACTTAAAGGTAACACAGTGCTCCTCTGGAGAGTTGTCCTCTGATGATGAAAGTACAGTTAAAAAGGAACAGGAGGTAACAGAAAAATCAGATATGACATCAGCTAAGGACCCTGAGCCTGTTAAAGAGGTATCTGAGGCTTCTCCGTTGATTACATCAGAGGAGCAACTTGTTATTGAAACTTCATCCTCTCAGGCTGAACTTGTTGACCTTTCTGCACCCTTTCAAAGATCATCAACCCCTGTGATTTCTAATGTATCTCCCCTACCAACTGTCCCCCAGTACACACCTGGTATATCTAGTGTGGTGTCAACAGCTCCTCCTGTTCCCCCTAAACCAAATATTTTGCGCAGAGCTAATTCTCAGGAAAAGGGAGAAGAACCTGTTTCAACACCCCAGCCTCCTCCTACTCCACCAAAGCCTACAGTTTTTCCCAGGAAAGCTCCAGTTCCACTCCCACCACAGGCTTCAGTATGTATCAACAAATCAGAGTCAGTGGCTATAACTTCACCCCAAGGATCACCTGTAAGACAAGCTGTCACTCCAACATACAAACCTCATATTCCACCCCCTGTTCCTCCAAAGCCAGCCATATCTGTTGTGGACAGCCACAGACCAGGACATGGTGTCAAACCACCAATTGCACCTAAGCCTGGTTCACAACCATCTTCACCTGCTCATGCCCCTCATCCAACAAGACCTACTGTTCTTCCCACTTGCGGTAATGACTCAATCCTTAATTTGAGTCCCTCTACAGAGAACAAGACATTTCAACCTTCGTCAAAGTCTCCTTCTTCCCCAAGATATGCCAGCAATCTTCGTGACACGTATGTAGTCATCACACTGCCATCCCAGCCTAGTTCTCCAGTTGAGGGTGTCACAACTCAAGCCCCCTCTGGCCCTGGACCAGCATCTCCTTCACAGCAAACTCATGAGGAGAGTTATTATCAACCACACCCTCAAAACTCGTATTCACAGATACATCAACCGACTCCTCCCCCTCAGACCACCAGGGTGCCTCTGGCATACACACGTGTCACAGAGTCTATTGAAAAACAAGAGATTTGTAGCCCAGAAAAACATGTTTCTAGTTCTTGTCACATAATCGAAGCGATATCTGCCTCAGCAAAGCCATCTGTTATGCCTAACCTCATATCTCAAGTTGTTACAACTGAACTTCAAAGAACCACTGTTTCTGTTGTCCATGAAAGAACACCACCTCCGGTGCCAGCTCCACGGGCAACTGGCATTCCACTGTCGATGGAGAAACCTAAGCCTCAGATACTAGCACAGACTGAAACAACCTCGTTACCATCTGAGGTGGTAGATCTTAGAACTGTAAAGGTCGATTCAGAAATGAATATGACTGGTGTTGATCTGTCCACTGGCCCTGATTCAAGACGCCAGTCTTTTGTGAGTGATGTCAGTCGTCACACCAGTGCAGTTCAGTCACCTGTGGTCAACCTCAGCACTGAATCATCCACTGTTTCTATAGTGACTGACAGTATTACTATTGTGACCTGTTCCGCAACAATCCAGCAATGTGAAAATGTAGAGTTTCCTCAAGCCTCCTCAGTGCCCCTTCAACTAACCAAAAACAAGGTATATGAACCTCTATCTCAAATTATCTATCGACCAGTTGAGTCTCAACCATCTGCTCTTACTACTACAGAAATTCCAATTAACCTCTCAGTGGGATCAAATGCCGGTACAGGAGGTTTCCAAGCTACGCCAATCACTGTTGGACCTTCTTCTATTGCAACCTGTGTTGCCAATGGATTAACTACAGGAAGAACAACAGTGGCAGGAGCAGTTGATCTTAGTACTACAAAACCTTTTAATACTGTGGTGTCAGTTGATGTGACTTCTGCGGATGTCGTTACAACTGTAATCACAGATGATGGAAAACCGGTTGATCTGACAGCAGGAAAGAGAGCCGTGTGCTGTGATGTTGTGTACAAGCTACCGTTTGCAGGAAGTTGTGCCACTCAGCAGCCTACCACGCCTCTGCCTGAAGATCGTTTTGGATATCGTGATGACCATTATCAATTTGACAGAACACCTTATGGCATGAGAGGGTTTAGTGGGATTAAACCCTCGATGTCAGACACCAATCTTGCAGAAGCTGGGCTTTTTATGTACAAGAGTAAGAACAGTTATAATTTCAGTGTCACAACAGAGGGAGCAGTAGATCTCACATCAGCAAAGATATCAGATGCAGGTCAGTGGAGTGACATTGCAGACCTGTCACTTAAATGTCACTTTGGACTGCCTCCACTTATTCATGGCTAATGTGGCTTTTTGACATTTTTCCTTTTTTAATTTGCATGTACTTTGATGTCTTCTTCATTCGACATCAGACTTTTGCATGTTTCCTTACTTGTTTTGCTTGTTTCAACTTTTGCTTTGACATTCTTTTTTTTGTTATCTGCTCAATGCATGGCTTGATTCAGAAAAAAATGCTCTGAAATTATGAACTAAAAATATGTTTTGACTTTTGACAGGTGAAGCAGTTGATTACTCCAAGAAAGGAAGCTATGCAGGAATGATAATCCCTCCATATTCCAATTCAAGTGCCACAATCTCTGTTAGTTCACTTTATGGCACCACCAGTGTTTTAAGGTCATCGAATGGAGTGGTCTATTCCTCTGTTGCAGCACCAATTCCATCAACATATGCAATTACTACCCAGCCAGGATCCATATTTAGTACAACATACAATACCTTTTCAGGCATGCACACGAGTGACACCATGCCTTCTCTGTCCAATCTCCAGAATTTACCACTCACCAGATCTCAAAGTTTTCTCTCAACTATTTCCACAACAGAAGAACAAGGAGATGCTCCTCTTAATCTGGAGATCTCTAAAGGAGGTATTACTCCTGCCAATGGTAGGCCTGCAATGACATCTTTATCCCTTGACACATATACAGATGCATCTTTGGAGGCTATAGCTGCTTCACTAGAAGCACTGTCTTCTCCAATGGTTCCTGGAGATGGCCAGTACCAGGTAGAGCGAGAGAGGCTAGAAATGGAAAAGCTAAAACAGCAACGCTTGGCTGAGGAATTAGAATGGGAGCGGCAGGAGATTCAGAGATTCCGTGAACAAGAACAGTTCCTGGTACAGAAAGAATTAGAAGAGTTACAGGCCATGAAGCAGCAGATTCTGACTCAACAAGAGGAGGAAAGGCAAGCACATCTTATGATGCAAAAAGAAACTTATGCCCAGCAACAGCAGCAACTTGAGCAAATACAAAGACTTCAAGAACAGTTGCGTTTACAGCTAGAGGAGCAAAAGCTCCGTCAGATGTATCCAGGTGCTGACATCCCAGGACATGGTGTGCAGGAGGCCATTGTTTTAGGACCAGATGGCACAGTACTTTCTCGAAAAATTACTGATAGCGGATGTCAGACTGATGAGGAGGACGAAGCATTAAGCAAGGCTTACACATCAGGGAGAAAAAAGAAGAGTGTTAAAAAGAGTGTTGATAGTTGTGTGCAGACTGATGATGAGGATCAAGAGGAATGGGAGGCCCAGAAAAGCCGACAAAGTCGCCCCCGTACTTCCAGAGGTGATAGGGGTGGGCAGTCAGAGATGTCTCTTCAAGCCCACACTGAAATTTCTATACAAACTGACACAGATGGGAATATTAGAATGGACACAAGAATGGAGCTGTCAGACTCAGAAAGGACCTCACCAAAGAAACGCCCCACTCCCTTAGAAATAGCTCAGTCTGCAAACCTCAAACCTGAATTTTCTTCCCTTCAAGCTCACCCCAAATCTCCCAAAGTACTTTATTCTCCTGTATCTCCATGTATATCACCTAGCAAATCCCTTGAGTTTGTGTCTTATGATAAGTCCCTAGGTGATACAAGCCCACAAAAGCTAAGAGAAAGTATAGACCCATTAAAATCCTCTCCAGCAAGTCCTCGAGGAGCCAAAACCATACAGCGATCCATGTCTGACCCAAAACCTATGAGTCCAACAGGAGAAGAAAGAGCAACATCTGGCACCCAGTTTGGTGATGGCCATCAGGTGAGTTCTACCCATTATTTTAACTTTGCAACAAATGTTTCAAATTTTTGAAAAATTAATACACGTCAGGATGACCTAGGTTTATAGGTTTCCATTTGAATTGCAATGTGAACATTAGAATAGATTATTTTTAGATAAGTTTTTCTCTACTGGAAAACCTGTATTGATAAAATATAAAAGCTAGTTTTCCCCAGCTCTTCAATACAGAGCTGCTTATACATTTATTAACTGTTTAGGGAAATATGATGAACATGCAGAAATGTTACCTCTTACATTTTAAGTGAGAACCTCTTTCCATTTTTTTTTCTTTATGGGAGCGTGAGGGATTTGCACAAACCAGCCAGAAAACCACTTAATTTATTCCCAAAATGTTCAAAAAAAATTATAAACTGGGCCCAAAAACAGAGGTCAACAGAATTCAATTCAGGCTTTAACATAAAGAACTCAAGCACAAACTGACCTAACAAACAGGACATGAGGGAACCTTAAATAGTGGCTGATCAGACCACTGTTGACACACAAGGGGGATAACTGACTAACAAAGTAATAAACAAATAAACTTAACCAAACAAATAAATACTGGCCAGACACTAAATACCTTTTAAATTTAACTAATTAACAAAATTACCCAAACTAAGAATATTTAAACAAATGATAAACAAATTTCCCTTCCCATTACAAATGGTTTGATCCGCTGATTACCCTGCAACCACCAATTGAGGAAAGCTGGAGCTCATTACAGCCCTTCACCAGCTGATCCCAAGGAAACTGGCAACTTAAAGAAGAAAGAAATTAATCAATTGCATCATAACAAAACAAAAAACCTGACAAATAAATGTGTGCACTGCAAAAAGCTAACTTAAAGTCAGGCTAATGAAAATATATGAAATGTGCAACTGATTTTGAAAATCAAAATGTAAAAGTTACCACACAGCTTCAGAGTGTGACAGCAGGCTGTCACAGGGAGTGAAAACAAAAACATGGTGACATAAAGAGAATATATTTGCATGCACCATAAAGCCTACAGGCCAAAATAAAAGCATTGACTAAATAAACACTAACCCATATTTCTTATTATTTGTGAAGAATATTGATACAATTGTTTCCTAATTAAAAGAAATATTCACATTATATGTTATTGGTCATTTTTTATAGGGTAAAGGATCCAGTGTTACACCCACGGGTACTCAAAAGAAGGTGAAAAGGACTCTTCCCAACCCTCCGTCTGAAGAAGATTCAACAACAAGTGGACAGACAGCATATACCACCAACTCTGCCCGTCGAAGAATGTGCCGCAATTCTAACATGGCACGTGCAAAGATCCTACAAGACATTGATCGGGAGCTGGATCTGGTCGAACGAGAGTCTTCTAAGCTTCGCAAAAGACAGGCAGAACTAGATGAAGAAGAGAAAGAAATTGATGCTAAGCTTAGGTATTTGGAGATGGGAATTAATCGGAGAAAAGATGCTCTTTTAAAGGAAAGAGAGAAAAGGGAAAGGGCCTACTTGCAGAGTGTTGCAGAGGATAGAGATTACATGTCTGACAGTGAGGTTAGTAACATTCGAGAGACTAGAAGTGTTAGAGAAGGTGGCGAGGATGAAGACATTGAGGATCACGGTCTGGAGCGTCCCAGGACTGCTCCTCACTCAGAACTTGATGACTTTGTTCCTCCACAAACGAAGCATGACTATGGAAAATATTCTCTGTACCAATATCCTCAAAGTCAATACCAGCACTCTATCTATCAGACCCCTCAATCCTACCAGTCTCACTCTCTTTACTCCTCTGTTCCTTCACTTACTACTGCCCAACAGCAGAGTTACCAGCAGATGCTTTTGTTGCAGCAGAAAGCTGCCAGACAAGCTGCCCTTCTATCAGAGCTTGATGCAACTAAATATGATGTTATTAGTCGTCAGCCTGATCCCACGCCATCAGCTTATCTTGGCGTTAAGTACGATAAATATGGTAACCATTTAGATCTTAGAGCCCTGGAAGTAGGAAGTATAGCAGGTAGCCCAATGTCAGCTGTTTCTGATTCATACTACACAGAGGTAGAACACCACACACCTCAAAGTTACATGCTGTTGGAAGATGCTGCAGAGCTTGCAAAGACCTCCACAGGTCTTTCTTCCTCTTATAGCCTTGCTGAGAGGGAGCTGGCAAAGGCAGAAAAGCTTTTACGTAGAAGTGCTGCAGATCTTGGGTCTACTGATTATCTAGGCTCCACTTCCAGACTGCATACTTTTGGAAAGACACCCGATGAAGAGGATACAATGGAGGAACCCTATGAATTAAAGCTTCTGAAGCAGCAGCTCAAGCAGGAGTTTAGAAGAAGTACAGGTGGAACAGAAAACTTAGAACAACTGACTGGGCTCTCCCAACACTACTACACTCCAAGCTCTGGTGTTTCTAGTTACTCCCAAAGACATTATCCAAAGTCAGAAAAATACAGCATCAGTCGTCTTACTCTTGAGAAACAGGCAGCAAAACAACTACCAGCATCAGTGTTGTACCAGAAACACAAAACCCCACTGATAGATCCAAAACTCTCTTCCAAATATGCCTCTATTACAGACAGCAGGGGTTTGGAAACAGATTATAACTATCTGGGATCTACCAGTGCATCTCCAAGATCCAGTAGGCTTATGCAGGATGAGATTACATTTGGCCTTCGTAAGAATATTGCAGAGCAACAAAAGTATCTTGGGTCTACCTTGGGAGCCAATTTAGCTGGCTCCCTAAATTTGGGCCAGAGCTTGGGCTTGGACTCTGCTTATCCTAGTGGTAGTCGATCGAGACCCTCATCCAGACCTACATCCTGCTATGGCCTGGATTTGTCAATCAAAAGAGACCTCTCAAGTTCTTCATTGAGGCTTAAAGGAGATGGAGAATCATCAGTAGATAGTCTGAGTTATCAAACCCCCTCTGGTCGCACCAAACCCACTAGCCTTCCAATTGTGCAAAGTGGCCGTGGTCGAATACCTATTGTGGCACAGAACTCAGAGGAGGAGAGTCCATTGAGTCCTGTTGGACAACCAATGGGCATGGCTCGTGCATCAGCTGGGCCTCTTCCACCTATCTCAGCTGATTCAAGGGACCAGTTTGGTTCATGCATGTCCCTACAAGATTCCCAGCCGCAGCAACATATGAGAGAAGAGCCGACAAGGGGTAGGAGTTATGTACTGCTGGATGATCTTCAAGGCACAATGTCTGATAGTGAAGGTAAAAGACAAGCTTGTAAGAATGCATCCCTTTTCATTTTCAGTGTGTTGTGAATATGTTTATTGATATAATTTGCATTGCATGCTAGCATGTATAACACAGGTATTTTTGTTTTTAATTAATATTTTAAATTTTGCATGCTTTCTTTTTATTTTACTTTTGTTGTCTCTTCTATTCTTTGTTTAACATTTACTTTGTTGTATTTGTTCTTTTAGTTATATATCAGCAATCCTTGTTTAAATTTTAAGATTTCAGGTGCATGTATTTCTTTTTTTTATTGACTTTTCTTTTATGTATACTACACAACATTTCTCTTTATATCTTTTCTTTGTTTGCATGAAAATCTTGTTTGGCTCCAAGTTCTATCAAGGAAAGAGCTCCCATCAAATATAATGTTATGTTTTTATTTTTGTATTTGTGTAGTTAAACTTACCATATAAGACCATATTTAGTATCAAGGGATTCCTCTGATTTGCAAAAATATATCACAAGAAAAACTATTTCAGTAGAATGTTTGAAATGCATTACATTTGATGGAAACATTTACTTCGGCATAATAAATTCAAATCTAAAGTTTGCATGTCTTGTTTTCAATATTATTGTTTTAATGTAGACTGCGTGTTTAATTGTTTTGAAATGAGCATACAGAATGTCATTTAGTAATATAGTTTCGGCTCTGAAGTAATATTTGGTTGAGATTATGAATTTTTAAGTCATTTTTTCTTTAAAACTTCATATGCATTTAATAAAAAAAGTTAAGTATCTAAATTTTTACAAAGTTTTATAATTCAAATAAAACTTTAGAATATACAATAACCATATTAATTCTAGCCCAGATTTTGGTCAAAGGTGACTTTTTGATTGTGGTAGCCCGATCTTGTGCTAAATACTTTGGCCCAATCACCTAAAAGTTTCTGTGTTTAAAAACATACAGACTTCAAAGTGTGAGCAAGACTGATCTACTAAACAAATGCACACAGGGTTTATATTTCTAAAATGAACATAACATTAGTCTTAATTAGGATTAAGGTATACATTGTGACTGATGATAATTAGTACAGTAAGGGAAAATACGTTTTGTGTTATATTTTGTCATTGGACAGTTAATGATTCATTTTTTTTTTTTTTTTAAATCTGCAGGCAAAGTATTCATTTTCATCTTTTCCGCATACAGTAGCTATCATACCAGCCTTCAGCAAGCTGTACTGTTTAAAATTCTGTCTGCCTTTGGGACATGCAACCAGTTCTACTCTGCTATCCCAAACTCTGCATTTAAATAAGGGGTTCCATATTGTATTTGCAATTATTAAATTGCATATTTAAAACTCTCCCCTTAACAGCTTGTGAATTTTATTGTTTGCTGAAAAAATCTATTGCTCATGGTATGATATCTTTGTAGATCAAGCCCTTTGTGCCTCAAATGTTATTTTAGAAAAACAAGGAATTATACATTCAAGTAATTTACAAAAGCCACTGACATAAACCTAAACTACCTATACTTTATCCAATTTGGGTTAAATTAATATCCCAGCTGTTTTTTTTCTGCAACTTAATATATGCATTGTGGTACAAGTTTGCTTTGCAATTGATGGATTCCTTCTTTTGTCCCATGCCCCATCTCATGCTGAAAAATGGTTAAAACATCTTGGCAGAAAAGCAAACTTGTGAGCATTTGACAAATTCTACAATATCTTTCAGCAAAAGATGCACATTATTAGTTTGATTGATCTCTACCAAAAAGCATTGTAGTTATCTAGAAGAAAGTATTTTATCATGAATTAAAACTTGCATACAAGCAATGACTTGTGTGGTTTAGCCAATGGATAAATCCAAATGGCCATGCTATTTCTCTCACCAATTTAAAAATGTTATTCTGGTTAAATTAATTTGACCTCTTTTAATTGCTGTCTTTCTGACAGGGAAACATCCATCCCAGAAGTTTTCCCGGAAAACCTAATTACTGCACCATTTACTGTTTTGACTTAAACATTAGCCCTTATTTCTTAAATAATCTTTAAGATAAAAGCAGTTTTGAAGCTCATGACAACTTCTCTGTGAGAAATGTTTTCATTTTGTTTGGTAAAAATAGTAAAATGTCATGATATTATAATGTAAATGAATTTGCCTTGATTCCAGCTCTTTGTGATTCCCTGATGGCTTTGAACAGAGACGGTGCAGCTAATGGTAGAGTATTAGTTTAGTTCTAATGTTGTCCATGAGCTAACATATCATCATAACATATCACAAGCACAATGCACCACACCATGAATTTATGAACAAATGTTGGGGAAAATGAATAACATTTTTATTATATTTTCAGTTTGGAACATAAATCTGAAAATGTAATAGAAAATGTTTTAAAACTTTAATTGGGAAAAATTCTTATTGATTGTCATTATTCACTTTAACATTATCCAACATTTACATTCATAGTGGGTCCATTTCTCCTGAAGTATTTGATTATATACACTTCAATAACCCTGTTTAATTTATCACCAAGCTGCATTACTTTTCTACTTGGCTACCAATCAATACTTATTTTGCTATTTAAATATGTCCAAAAACTATTAAGTATTTTTTTAATATTTTATAATTAGTTTTTCACTCAGCATCACAAAATCAAATGCAAATAAATCAAATCCATATTATACAGTAAGATGCAAATGTATTAACTCCAAATGATTAAATTAGTGCTCATTTATGTGCCTGAAGCTTATCATCTCAGACGAGAAGAGACAGACTGGTTTGACAAACCAAGAGATGGACGGCCAGAGAACGGACAGGAAAAGAGACAGGTAAAAAAAAAAACACCAGGTTGGTTGTGGTTGAAAACTTACTTGATGAAGAAGGTCATCTTTATGGGTCATTCCCACAAAGTACAGTAGTACTTTTTAAGCATTTATTTCTATTTATTTTGCATTTAAAAACCCCAGATGCATCTTCACAAAGTGGAATATTACACAAGACCAAAATAAGATCTTTTTAATACAGTAATGAGAAGTACAAAAATATAATCCTACCAAATAAAGAGATACAACATTATTTACTGAACCTTACTAGTGGAGTGTCTTAATTACTCAATTATTCAATTACTTGTCTGCATTGTCAGCTACGATGTCTACTTAGCAATATTTCTATCAATATCTACAGAAAATCTGTATTAGAATTGGTCTTATGTAATATATGTTATTAGCTGCAAGCTGCATGCAGTAAAATGAATTGCTTTGAGTGAGTGAGTGAGTGAGTGAGTGAGTGAGTGAGTGAGTGAGTGAGTGAGTGAGTGAGTGAGTGAGTGAGTGAGTGAGTGAGTGAGTGAGT